TAGAATGGAATTGGAGAACACATTAGGCCACAGGCCAAATTTCTCCCCATCAATAAGCAAGGAAATAAATGATGCAGCAGATACCAGCTGCGTGTTCTCCACTCCAATTCCATTCAATCTAAACGCTATTTACCTGATAGGGATGGTGGCGGCGCGCGCCTGTAGTCCCAGCTACTGAGGAGGCTGAGGCAGGAGAAATGGCGTGAACCCGGGGGGAGGAGCTTGCCAGTGAAGCCGACGATCCGCGCCACTGCACTCCAGACTGAGCGGCAACAGAGCGAACAGACCAGTCTCAAAAAAAAAAAAAACAAGAAAAAGAAGAAAAGAAAAAAAAAATCCTTCTATGTTGATTGGTTGTTGGAGGAGAAAACAGAAAAGACAACATTTGAGTGGGTTTTTTTTTTTCCTTCTAGAAAAGGAAGAACAAAAAGCAAATACAGAACTCCCTGAGTTCTAGTCCCAGCTTTGAATCAGCTATCCATGTGAATCCTTGAGCAAATCCCTTTATGCTTGCCTGGGTACCTAATTTCTAATTTCAGGAAATATGAAAGAACTGAGTCCATTACCCAACCAACATCCCTTTCCAGGCTAAGAGAGTAGATAAATTTCTTAAACAGGCGCGACACCATTGAACCAGTAACTCATTCAGATCCAAAGAGGAAAAAAATATACAAGTGGTTTAAATAATGTCGTATGCATTAATCACCATCCGTTGCAGGTTTATAAACCGCCACATTGGAATTTAAACGGACTAGATACCTGCAATAAAGAAAGACTCTATAACAGTGGCGGGCTCAGATGCTCACACTATCATCCCCAGGGCCACTTTCGGAGGCCTGAGGCGCGTGGATCACCTGAGGCCAAAGTTCGCAGACCAGCATGGCAACATGGCAAAACCCCGTCTACTAAAACGTACAAAAAATTAGCCCAGGCATCGCGTGGGTGCGCACCTGTGGTCTCACAGCCTGAAGCAGGGAAGATGCACTTGAAACCAGGACTAGAGGCTGCACGTGAAACAACGATGTGCCACTCAC